ATTATTTTTCATAAAAAAATAATTATAACTCCTTTTGTGAACGTGAACATACCTTAGTATACCTAACTTGACAATGAGTCTAAAATAATATTTTGAGAATTTTTGAAATACGTATGTAGTAGAAACTTTGACCCCAAATAAAAATGGTAGAAAACAACCTAATTAGGAGTACATCTCATGTATGCACTAGCATATTCATGCATCTATGCATCATTTTGGCATGTTATTGATAGCGTATATGGTTACACTTTAGGACAAGTAAACCGGCCAGACAGTGAGGGTAACAGGATTGAGTCTGGACACACACAATATCAGCAGAGGTGAGTGGTCTTTTTCCTAAATTCAGGATTTTCCTAAAATAGTAAAAGTAATAATTTATTTCTAATAAATGTTCTATTTCAAAACCAAAGATTTTATTTTTGAAATGTTTTTATTTATATGTTATGATTATTTTGCTACGTGAAATGGAAACAGGAATCTCATTTTTATGCCGTATGTTATATATGTGAATGTTTGCAATTCACCTGGATAATACGCTGGGTAACCACATTAGTGTGGTAGTACTACATGATTTATTTGCCCGGTGGGGCCTTACGACACCAACAAGCTGTGTGTGTTCGTCCATAGGGGTGGTGTTCTATGGAACGAGTCTCATGGCCAGTAGCACCCAATGGATTTTTATTATGTTATATTTATGTCTACGTGCACGTCAGACCTTATCTTTATTGATGGAGCCGTTATGTTTTTACTTCCATCCTTAGCCATATAAGATATTTTACTATGGGTGGATCTGCAGGCTCAACGGGTGGATTTGCTTTAATTTTAAATTATGATCAGTGAATTAATATCGCATGATATGATATTTTATACCAGTTATACTAGTTTTATGAATTACTTTTAATTATAGCATTATGTAAAATATTCCTGTTTCACTGGTTTTAGTGATAAGACGATTCACTGGGACGAAGGTCTCACCACTCATTTATTTTTTTCAGGTTCCAGCAATAGAGACCTGTAGCTATACTACGTGCATCCAGCATATCCACTACTTGCATTTTAGTAAGGTTGGGCCCCACTCTTGTCAATAGTAGCTAGTTTGGGTTGTTGTTGTGAGTGAAAGTTAGCTAGTGGGTCTGTATGAAAATCTTATGTTGGAACGAAGTATTATGTAAGATAATTATGTTTTCTGTTATAGTAATATCTTAATTTTTATGTGATGTCTTGTTGAATATTTTTTTATGAGTTGTACGTTTGGCTCAAGAGGTACGATAGTTGAATAAGGTTTGACTTTCTCCGGTGAATCCCGGGCATCGGAGGTGGTTAAACCCTATTCCACTGTCACGCCTCGCTCGAGTTACGGGGTGGGGTGTGACAGGCAGGACTCCATTGTACAGGTGTAGTACCTCACCTAAGAGGACTTCAAGAACAAAAGTTGTAAAGGATGAATATAAACTAGAAAAACTTAGTAGGTAAGAAGGCTTCAAACCAACAGAACTAACATTGACATAAGTAAAGTTAAAATAGCAACAAATTGGAGGTCTTGAGTTCTCCTACTTAATTTTTTAAAGGGTATTAGCATTCTCAGGGTAACAATGTTTAAACAACCTGAGAAGTCCCACACATTAATACAATATAAAAACATATATAGCAGATTGTTAACACTATTTCTCATCACTTCCACAACACCACGTGAGAGCATTGTGAGACCCAACCCCTTTCGCATCAAGCTGTGGGGAAGCAAAAAGTATAGTGTAAATTTAAAATTTTTACATACATATGTACACAAAAATATTTGATGCATGAAGCCATTACATTACATACTAACTGAAGGCTTTGTTGTAGACTCAAGCTTGCTTGTTAAGTTATAACTACTTACTTATGTCATAAATAATAAATGTCATAAAATAGAACTACTTACTTGTTAATCCACCAAGGCAATAACAAATGTCATAAATAATAAACATAAAATAATCAAATATTTATAAAATACTTGACTAACAACTAAAATGGGAGATAAATTGAAGCTGTACAAAAGAATGCTCAGCCATAACAAACTTTAAAGGAAGCAACAACATTTATGGGTCACAAAAAGAAGAGAGCAGACAAGGCTCTAAAACAATCAGAAGAACTATAGTGTTAAGCTAAATACCAACGGCACATGTAGCAATGATGCTTGGCAGATTCTGCAGAAATATTTCCCCCTCAAGAACATCTAAAAACCAATGTAGCCAGAAATAAAATATTATAGATACATTCCTTTACACCAAGCCACGTTTGAAGTTTGAACAACATAAATGGTAGACCAAATAAGCAAATATCATAAAAAATAATAGCCCTTAGATTAAGATGTTTGGCTTCCTTGGAAGAAGGATTAGAAAGGGATGCTTGGTTTTGTAGTGCTTTTTATAGAAATAAACATAGGTTTTCAGAAAAAATCCTAAAAGCCCTGAAAATGAGGTTTTTTGAACAGAAAAGCTCTCCTTTGCAACCCTTTCTCCATAAGGCTTTTATGATAAAAGCCATGTAGAGAAAGGTAAAAACAACCCTGATGCCCATCCCTTAGACTCTGCCCAATTGTTGGACTAACTAACCCCAAATGTCATGGTCTATATTGTCTACGTGAAGACTATGCAAAGTGTAATCCACCCACTTTCATTGGTAATCTATTAACTAATGCCTATACACCTTGAAGATGTGCCATATTCCTCAAATTCATTCTGCCAGCACTGAAATATATACATACATACATATATATATATATATTGGGGGGGGGGGGTTCAAAACTATTAGATGTGGCGTATCCAATTGCCAAAAGGCATATAACTCATTGGCAAACTAAAACATTCCTCTCATTTACATTGGTAAATGGCATGCAACCATTAATTTTATTTAAGAACTACATTTCAGAATCTTGAGGAAATAAAATAAAATCAAAAATTTAATCATGTAAATGTATACCAAATGAGAAAACAAAGAAATTACTTGTATTATAGTAGAATCAATTTATCATGAAACCTGAAACAGGTGCTATGCAAAAGCACTGACGTTCCGCAGCAATGCTTGTTTTGAATACAACTTTCTGGACCTTTTTGCATATTGATTGAATCTCTATATAATCATAGCCACTAGTAGAAATCACTCAACCATCATAGAGTATATTCAGATGATATCAAAATATAAAATGTCTTCTAAATCCAAAGGTTAATTAAAACGGCAACGAAAATGAAATCGGAATCGAAAACAATAACTAAGATATTAGATCGGAAACAAGTACCTGACGTCGTCGTCCATCAGACAGGAGCGATCCTTGAAATCCTGAAAATCAATCTCTAAGTCGTTGTTGAGGTCAAAGATCTCAGCTTCCTGGGGCTTGTAGTAGTAATTGTTGCTCCAGCTTGAATACACATCGATAGTAGGCATTACCATCTGTAAGGGGAAGGCATGGGAAGGCTAGGGCACCGCAAATGGATTACTTGGAGTGGCAACTGCTGTACAATTGCGAAAACCCACGGCCCATGGGTAGTGGGGATTGCCGGCTGGAAAGGGAAGACGGCAAGGCTAGGGCACCGCAGATGCCAGTTGCAAGGAGAAGACGTGAAACATTAGGGCACCGCGCATTAACAGGGCATTTTGGTCATTTACATTGAGTATAGCGCAAAAATATAGTTGTACTTAACTTTAAAAAGAAAATGTTGTACATGGTACATCAACCTCCCGTACTCTTTTCGTGGAGATTAAATTTTGAATCCATCCAACGGTCTATGGGAATATGACTGATATACATGATGTACAATGCTTGACTAATGCTAGAAACTCCCGTTTGTGTTTTTTTTTTTTTTTTTTGGGGGGGGGGGGGCGCTTAAATATGCTTATTAATGTCTTTACTGGATGCTGCTATCAATTGTGTGCTTTCATGCATATGTATATATGAACCATCTACAGCAAACCTACTCGATTTGCCTGCCTCACGAAGCCTGAAGATGCAAATCATTCAACAAATATAAAAAAAATATACAAATCATCATGTTCAATAAATAAACAAATTTTATAAAAAAAATTAATAATTAAAAATAAATATTTCAAATAATTCAAAGGATGTCCCCACTAACCCAATGAAGAGACAACTGATTCAAGTCATGCCCTTCTACGGGCATCAGACATACATAAAAAAATAATAATCCCATTTAGTTCAATGTCTCATAAAATTAAATAAATCCCATTTAATTCAATTCTAAATTCCAAAAAATTGAATAATGCTCACCCCTAATTTTGAAAGATGTATTGTCAAAACCAAAATGGTATCATATGTCATCCAGGATTGGGGCAAGTAGTATGTAACTGATGGGGTTAGATGGTCAAATTGATAGGTTGACAGTCATAGATGCATTTAAGAGGCAAAACTGGTCCCATTTTTGTCATAAGATACAAGATTTGTGTTTCATAAGTTTTTTTCTTTTCTTTTTTCTGCTATGAGACTAGTTATTTTGAAGCCGATTATGATATTATTTGTTTTGTAGTCATTATCCACTTTCTAAAATATGTACCTATCAGAGTGTTAGAGTGTGTAATTTGTTCCATTTATTTTTGTTTTGGGTATTATTAAAACCGAATGACTATCCAATTACACCTTCATCAAAGGCGTCGTATTTTGAGGAAAGCCCGTGGGCATTAATGAGGCCGCATGCATATTTGGAGATCCTGTATTTAATATCCTCTTTCATTTGAATGCATCAGAATTGCAGTAAACTGATACTTCGTGATGGTCTTTTTTCTCGAATGTTTACTAATGATTATCAATACTATCAGTTCATTATTTTGTAAAGATGGTATCAACTATTAGTTTTACTTGACTTTATAAATTTTGCAATTTCTATTATAAGATGGAGTGTCATTTGACATTATGGGCTGAAAAATATCTCCATTTTGGTCTTTGATATTTATTCTCTCCATAATGTAGTAATGTATTTATTTCTTAATCTTGCTTCATATATCACTTTTAGATGCGATATCTTGGTGCTCCAGGTGTTGAAGTGAAGGTTGGCCAACCCCCGAAGGTCGAACTTGATGTGGGCAGAGTTATACATATTTCCCAGGTGATGATCACTATTTGATATTGGTAAATTTGATTATTTTATTAGTCTTTTATTCTATAGTTTTCTATCACCTAGTGAAGCAACTACCACATCTACTCTTTACTTTGCTTTTGTCCTGCTTTGTTAAATGTTTGCATGTTGCTATACCTCAGGCTGCATTGGGTGAGGGAAAGAAAGAGAAGGGAAGTGAGCTTATCCCCCTTTGTGTGAGGATTATTGGTGATAATTTCATTGTGGGATCACTTTCTGCAAAGAATGTACCTCAAGTTTCTTTTGATTTGGTGTTTGAGAAAGCATTTGAACTTTGCCACAACTGGAAGAATGGGAGTGTCTATTTCTATGGATACTCAACGGACAACCCTTTTGTATATCCTTCTAATTGTTTCAATATAGGTGCTTTCTTTTGCTTGCAAGTGATCATTTTCTTTGTTCATGAATTCTTTGTTATTAATTTTTGAAAAGTGCTTCTGTCTGAAGATGTGGCTTTAACTGAATGCAATGTTCTAGTTAGAGTTGGTCTACTTTTTGCCTGGTCTTTTAACTTAACTTTGTTTATGTCAGTGGCAGAAGTCTTTGCCTGCAACAGGAAATATGTACTAAAAATTGAGAAGTGTATTTTTACACATATAAGAAGTGTTTTCCTAACTGATTAGAATGTTGATCTTCCCTTCTGTGTGATGTGAGAGCCCTATGATAGTGTTAATGTAATTTTATTTTATTTTTGTCTTCTCTTTCCTGTGGAAAGCTCATATATTGCTGATAGCTATTATGTTCTCTTTCTGTAATTCCTTTTTCTGTTATCACAAACATTTCTAACCACGAATGCATGGTTGACTTGTTATTTTGCTTTCAATGTTATCCTTTATTTCCTTGACTGTCTGCTGTCTTTTTGTTCCACGGATGATGAAGATGAATTTGGTGAGTTTTAAAGACTATGCCTACACTGCTTGATATTATTACTCAGTTGTTAGTTTAACTTATTGTTTCTTTCCAAATTTTTGTATTTTTCAGATTCAGAAGATGAGGATGAAGATGAAGATGTCCCTTTGGCCATACCTGAGAATGGTATAAGATTCAGAAGTTTGATTTATGCCTAAAATTTACTAAGAAAAATTGAACCTAAAGCTGAGGAAGCAAAGCCAGCAGCAAATAAGGCTAAAGCTTCTAAACCTGAATCTTCTGCTAAGCCGAAGGTCACCGTAGAGCCAAAGAAAGATGAGTCCAACGAAGATGATGAAACGGAAGAGGATGAGGATGAGGATGAATCCGATGATGAGGTAAGTCGTAATTATACTTAAATATGATGATTAGGTTTTGTGGTTCTCAGTTATTGGGCCCAGGGTAGTGTTGTCAAGAGTGATAGGTGCTTTATAGTGCCAAGGGCTCCTGGTGTCTTGATGCATTCACCTGAATTATGCAAGGCACATAAAATGAATAATAATAAGTTTGTGTATATGTTCAAACCATTTAGAAGAGAAGGGAATAGAACAGAGAGGCTACAAGGTACAGCGCGCAGGGATTTTAATTGTATTTATACATTTATAAAATAATGGAACATTGAACATCAGATACAAAAATGTCAAAATGTTAGAGAGGAGAGATGTGAGTGAGACAGAATTGATACAGTGCAGTGGCGAGGGCTGGGGATATAAATACAAGGACCAGTTGAACTGGAGTTGAGTTGGCCCATAAAGTGAATGGGAGGAAGGTGAAACGGGATAAGGAGGAAAATGATTGGAGAGATTTCAAAATTTATACTATTAATTAATAAGATTAATTAAAATTAATTTTTGATAATTTATAATAACTAATTTATAGTTATACATATGAACCATCTACAGCAAACCTACTTGATTTGCCAGCCGCACGAAGCATGAAGATGTAAATCATTCAACAATATAAAAAAAAATATACAAATCATCATGATCAATAAATAAACAAATTTTACAAAAAAAAAATAATAATTAACAATAAATATTACAAATAATTCATAAGATGTCTCGTGAAGAAGATACAAGTTATGTCCTTCTACGAGCATCAGACATATTTAAAAAAATAATAATCATATTTTCCACTACACTCATTCTTTCAACAGTTGCTATATAATGGGTATTGGATAGATCTTTCATTTTTTTAGAATACGTATACAATTTTTCAATGATGATTTTTCTTTAGATTGTTTTTTTCCTTTTTAAAGGTTGAGAAAAACCTCTAACCTCCATTACATCAACACTCCTATAGAAAGACTCACTTCTTATTGGATTTTGCTCTGAACCAAGAGAATGTTAAGTACTTGTATGTACGTGACCGGTTGGGGTGGCGGCGACGGTGCTCGTATCAAAAATCTCTCGAAGCAAATTAAAATGTTTATAACCCTTATTATGAAATTGTTTAACCTCCTTGTTGGCCTATACAAAAAAATTATCAACTTTGATTAAGTATATTTTTAAAATAAATTAATAATAACTACTAATTTATGAACACAAAATAATGAGAATTTACCTCAATAGCACAACGCCAATTGTGTTCAAATCTTAGCACCCTATTAATTCTTTAAAAGTTTTAAACTTATTCCTCAACTTTCGAAATTTTGCCTTTAATTTATCTACAGTATATGGCTTTTGAAAATTTTCAGTCATTTGACGACCTATTATCCCCCATTCTCTACTACTCAACGTGGTGGAAGTGAGATTCCCCTCTCTTACTTCCAAAAGAATGAGTTCAATAAACATTTTCTCTTCCCTCCCATTGAAATTTTTCATCAGTGTTCCCTCCAGAAAAACCTCTAGTTCGTGTTGACATCTTATAAAACCAACAAAACAAAAAATTATTCAATCGGTTGAAAATAAATTTCAACACAAAATATTATTCTAACAATGAAATACAAGTCCAAAATCAAATTTCTAAATTTCAAATCTAAAATGAATATCAAGACATACGAACCTTAGATATAAATCGAAGTCGTTTATTAGAAACTAATAGATAAACACGGTTAGATAATAGTGCGTTTCTAGGAGAATAGGCATGATTGGGCGAGTGAGACTTTGTTACTTCCCCCAGCTTGACTCTTTCTTTTCTGTAAACATGCGAGAAGAATTCAAGCAGAAGACGAGACCTTAAATCATTGTGACATATATACTTTCTTTTTTTGTATGAGCAATTAAAGATCAATATCAATAAGAAGGAAAGCATTCGTGAGAATTCCCAAGATCGGGCACTAATTTAGCAATTAGTGGATGAGAAACCGAAACGAACTCAGTTGACGAATAAGGCGACTGAAGCATAAAAAGTGTCGAGAAACTCGGCGGGAGATCCAATTCTTCTCGCACGTTTACAGAAAAGAAAGAGTCAAGCTGGGAGAAGTAACAAAGTCTCACTCGCCCGGTCACGTTTATAGAAAAGAAAGAGTCAAGCTGGGAGAAGTAACAAAGTCTCACTCGCCCGGTCACGCCCATTCTCCTAGAGACACACTATCATCTAACCGTGTCTATCTATTAGCCTCTAATAAACAATTTCGATTTATATCTAAAGTGCGTATGTCTTGATATTCATTTTAGATTTGAAATTTAGAAATTTGATTTTGGACTTGTATTTCATTGTTAGAATAATATTTTGTGTTGGGATTTATTTTCAACCGATTGAATAATTTTTTGTTTTGTTGGTTTTATAAGATGTCAACACGAACTAGAGGTTTTTCTGGAGGGGGCACTGATGAAAAATTTCAATGGGAGGGAAGAGAAAATGTTTATTGAACTCATTCTTTTGGAAGTGAGAGAGGGGAATCTCACTTCCACCACGTTGAGTAGTAGAGAATGGGGGATAATAGGTCGTCAAATGACTGAGAATTTTCAAAAGTCATATACTGTAGATAAATTAAAGGCAAAATTTTGAAAGTTGAGAAGTAAGTTTAAAACTTTTAAAGAATTAATAGGGTGCTAAGAGCTGAAGACAATTGGCGTTATGCCATTGAGGTAAATTCTCATTATTTTGTGTACATAAATTAGTAGTTATTATTAATTTATTTTAAAAATATACTTAATCAAAGTTGACAATATTTTTGTATAAGCAAATAAGGAGGTTAAACAATTTCATAATAAAGATTATGAACATTTTAATTTGCTTCGAGAGATTTTTGATACTAGCACCGTCGTCACCACCCCTAACGGTCACGTACATACAAGTACTCAACATCATCTCGGTTCAGAGAAAAATCCAATAGGAAGTGAGCCTTCCTATAAGAGTGTTGATGTGATTGAGGTTAGAGGTTTTTCTCAACCTTTAAAAAGAAAAAAAAAATTTAAAGAAAAATCATTATTGAAAAATTGTATACGTATTCTAAAAAAAAATGAAAGATCTATCCAATGTCCAATATGTAGCAACTGTTGAAAGAATTAGTGTAGAGGAAAATATGATTATTATTTTTTAAATATGTCTGATACTTGTAGAAGAGCATGACTTGCATGACTTGTATCTTTTTCACGAGACATCTTGTGAATCACTACAAGAAAAATAACATTTAGCTAGGGACAAGTCCGTTACTAAATTGAAAAAATTCCTAGCTAAAATACATTTAGCTAGCCAGATTGCCCTAGCAAAAATTTGGTAGCTAAAACAGGCCTAGCTAAATTTTAGCTAGAGATTACTGTCATTCGTAACTAAATTTAGCGAGAACTTTAGCTAAGGATAATAGTCCTAGCTAAATTTAGCAAGGGATGTATCTGGCTAAATTCCTAACCAATTTAACTAGGCTAATATCCTAACTAAATCTCTAGTTAAAAATAGTTAAGGTCATGAAGAAGTACAAACAGTAGTTCAACCCATCATAAGTCACATGTTTTCTTCTCAACTATCGCTTAATAGTTCTGGTTCTTCCTTATGGCCAAACGTAAATTCTTAGTTATGGCTGCGTGTTAGTTGTATTAAGCTTTACTATTTTGAGCATTTCTAGATGTTGATCTTTTGTAGATATTTGACTTAATGTTTTGTAAACATTTAATTTGATTTTTTGTAAAAGCTCAGTGCTTGGCTTAAATGTACTTGATTTTATTTTTAATATATAAATTTTGATCGATTTTGATGATTAATTATAGTGCATTTTGATTTAAACAGGGAAATGTAGAATTTTAATATTATATTTTGTTGGCAGGCAGGAAAATTTTTGCTGGGGATTGTCCCTAGCTAAAAATTAGCACATCCCTAACTACAAAGCAGCATATTTCACATACTAGCTATAAAAATAACTAGGGATATAGCGAGGAAATGACCCTAACTATTTTTAACTAGAGATTTAGCTAGAGTATTAACCGAGCTAAATTAGCTAGGGATTTAGACAGAGATATTCCTTGCTAAATTTAGCTAGGACTATTATCTCTAGCTAAAGTCCTAACTAAAATTTAGCTAGGCATGTTTTAGCTACTGAATTTTGCTAAGACAATCTGGCTAGTTAAATGCATTTTAGCTAGGAATTTTTTCAATTTAGCAACGGATTTGTCCCTAGCTAAATGTTATTTTCCTTGTAGTGATTCACAAGATATCTCGTAAAAAAGATACAAGTCATGCAAGCCATGCTCTTTTACGAGCATCAGACATATTTAAAAAAATAATAATCATATTTTCCTCTACACTCATTTTTCAACAGCTGCTATATATTGGGCATTGGATAGATCTTTCATTTTTTTTAGAATACGTATACAATTTTAGTGATGATTTTTCTTTAGATTTTTCTTTCCTTTTTAAAGGTTGAGAAAAATCTCTAACCTCCGTCACATCAACACTCCTATAGGAAGACTCACTTCCTATTGGATTTTACTTTGAACCGAGAGGATGTTGAGTACTTGTATGTACGTGACCGGTGGGGGTGGCGCCGACGGTGCTGGTATCAAAAATCTCTCGAAGCAAATTAAAATGTTCATAACCCTTATTACGAAATTGTTTAACCTCCTTGTTGGCCTATACAAAAAAATTATCAACTTTGATTAAGTATATTTTTAAAATAAATTAATAATAACTACTAATTTATGAACACAAAATAATGAAAATTTACCTCAATGGCACAACGCCAATTGTCTTCAGATCTTAGCACTCTATTAATTCTCTAAAAGTTTTAAACTTACTCCTCAACTTTCGAAATTTTGCCTTTAATTTACTTACAGTATATGACTTTTGAAAATTTTCAGTCATTTGACGACCTATTATCCCACATTTTCTACTACTCAACGTGGTGGAAGTGAGATTCCCCTCTCTCACTTCCAAAAGAATGAGTTCAATAAACATTTCC